AAATTAGAAAATGTTACTAAGATAAGATATTGAAAACATAAATTTGAAGCTATACCCTTCACATTCCAGAATTCTTGATATGATCTTTAAGATATTAGATTACCTGGAAAATGAGAAGGAAAAAATGACAAGTCTAGAATTATTTCTATAGTGTTAACATTCTTAAAACAGTATATAAAAGTTGATTATGGACATTATGAATATTTTCTCTCATGTATTATGAGATTCTAATATAAATTTCATTAAAATCCATGTTGGTTATTGAAGTATATATTTTACTGAAATGGCTGCATAGCATCTTAACTACTTTCCCAAAGCACACTTAACACAATAGCAATGAATTCCCAGAAGGGTAACCTCTACCTTAGAGTCAATGGAGGAAGGTACTCAGTTCATGAGCCCACAGTACTGTGCTCTCCATCAACAGCCATCCAGTAGACTCAATTGACTCTTAGCAAAGGCATTCACTGAGATGACATGGTAAAAATGGCAGCTCTAAAGTATAAACCTGGGGCACATTTTCCCACAGATATACATAGCAAGTATGAGAAAGGTATTAATTCAGAGTTTAGTGTTAATGAGATACTTATATATGAAATATAATTGGCAACTCACAACTCCTGGCACTAAAGGTCCTAGAAATTCCTTCTCTCTTCATAGAACTCTCACACAACTTCCCTTGGGGTGTGTCTCTGCTAGGTATTTTGCTAAGTTATCAAGATCTACTCTTCTCCATAACTCTCTTCTCTGCTTCCAGGGAGTCTCATTCCTCAAAGCTTCTTCCTCCCTTGGGTGACACTGCTCTCTCATTTGTACATTGAACTAATGAATAAATGAACTTTTGGATGTGGTGTCTCCCTTTGGGCAAGTTGTGTCTAGATGCCTAGTCAGTGGGAGGAAGAAGAGAGAAATCCTCTGTTTCCCCCTCTCCCAATAAGAGTTCCTCCATAAAGTGCTCCTAAACATGTGCTTCCTCAAGTTCTCCAAGGCTGCTAGAAGAAAATTCTCATGAACTTATAATAAAGGTAAGGGAGACAAAAGAATGTGTAGGGCATTTTAAGGATTTGTAACAATAAGTCAAACTGCATCAATAGATAAAAATTTATGGCTTTATGGGACCCTTTATGTTAATATTGGTACTCTTGTTTCCCAACATGATCCCTGGCCATCCCAAGGCAAACAAAACACAAATCTTATGTCATTTACCTTGCTGATCACATATGTTGCTCTCTGACCAATGAGTCACTTTTATGAGATGAATTAGATTTAGGGCCGTGAAGCAGGAACTAGATGGAAGATGGAGTTTCACCAAATTATGAGTGAAGTTTTAAATTCTTCATTACAGAATACTGCAATCCCTTCCTCACAAAGGTCAGGCCTTCTAAAAACTGCCTAAACCTTATTCAGTAGTGAATAACTTTCCTTCCAAATGGCTGTGCCTGAGATTAACAGAAACAATAGTTAAGAGTTAAGATCTTTGGTGGACTTTCTGTGATGCTGACAGCTCACACATCTTTCGATTTTGAATCTTGGTCAATTTGGGGTACCAAAAGCAATTGAAGCTACAGTGGATTCTAACAGACTGTGATGCCCTCTTATTTAGAGGTTCTTTGTTTTACAGAGTAAGAAATTGGAAGAAAAGTTATTTATTAAGTCATCGAAATTCTTATCCACCAGAGAGGGATAAAGTTACCCAGGGAAGTTATTCAATCAGGAAGTTCTTTTTGTTTACTTTAGTCTCTTTTGCTGCAATTTAAGGGAATTTCTCTTTACATTATTGTATGGGAAAGTGGAGAACACCAGTCAACTTTATCATCCTTCATACATATTTAGAATAATAGAAAGAGGTTGGAAGGAAAATTTGGGGCCATATAATCCAACCTCCCACTCAATGCAGGAATCAATAAACCAAAGAAAATTTATCAGGTATTTACTATGTTTCAGGGACTGTGCAAGACAATGCTGAGACAAAGACAAAAATTAAACAGTCCCTGCCGTCAAGGAACTTACATTCTATAAAAGGATATAATATGTACATATATAGTGTATCTCTATGTATGCATATATTTAGATCTATATGTATATTATTTATAATACACACATATATATATAATAAATGCAAGACATTTCAGGGAGGGAGGGTATTAACAGTTGGGGGTGGGGCATCTGAAAAGGCCTCATGTAGAAGGTGGCAGCTAGGTGACACAGTGGATAGAGTGTCAATCCTGGAATCAGGAAGACTCATCTTCCTGAGATCAAATCTGGCCTCAGACTAGCTGGGTGACCCTAGGTAAGTCCCTTAACCCTGTTAGCCTCAGTTTCCTCATCTGTACAATAAGCTGGAGAAGGAAATGGTACCAGTATCTTCACCAAAAACAGACTGAAAAAAAAAACTCGAAACAAAACAAATGGGGCCACAAATAGCTGGACACAATTGAAAATGACTGAAAAAAACAACATAGCATGGTACTTGAGTTTAGTTTTAAAAGGAAATGAGATTCTAAAATGAGGAGGTGAGGAGCTAGTATGTTTAGACCTAGGAGAAAGCCTGTACAAAAGCATGGAGATGGAAGGCATATCATTACAGAGGAAAAGTAAGACCTGTTTGGCCAGATCATAGAGTGTGGGGAAGGGAGGAACATAGGGCTGGAAAGGTAGTAAAGGGCCAGGTTGTAAATGGCTTGAAAGGCTAAACAGAGGAGTTGATATTTTATCCTAAAGGAAATAGGGCACCACAGGAATTTATTGAGCAGAGACATGATATGATTAGATTTTTGGCTTTAGAAAAATCACTTTGGTAGCTATACAGAAGATGGATTGGAAAGGAGTAAGACTAGAAACAAGCCAATTAGGAGAGTGTTGAATTAGTCCAGATGGGAAGTGATGGAGGCCTGAAAGAGGGTGGTAGTCATTAGAATAAGGACATGGATGTGAGAGATATAGAAGAGGTAGTAATTACATTAGCAATAATTTGGATATGTGAAGTGAGGGAGAACAAGTCAGGGAAAATGGAAACCTGGATAACTGGAAGTATGATAGTGACTTTGACAGTAATAAGGAAGTTCAGAGGAGGGGTAGATTAAGATAAGAGATGCTGGCTTCTAATTTTGATGTATTGAACTTGGCATGCATATGAGATATCTAGTTTGAAATGCCCAGTAGACAGTTGGAAATGCATGACTGGAGGTCATTAGGAATTAGAGGAGGAATTAGATAGGATGAATATATAGGTTTTAGAGTAATATGGATCAAAATAATCTACTATATAAAGACTCTATTATATCCTCAATAGACATGACTTCTGCTTTAAATATTTTATATTTAACTATGAAAGGTTATAGTCAGAACTATAGACATTACAAGGGAGGGAGTAGGCACTAGAGAGTAGATTGGATTCCGAGTAGAAAGTCCCTGCACTATGGCTTACGCATAAGCCATAGAGAAATTATCGGATGCCGAAGGATGCCTTGCAACATATGCATTTAGAGCTTAAAGTTTTCTTTATTTCAAGTATAACAGACATAATTTACACAAAAGGTGACCTTTTCAAATCTTACTTGACCAATTAGGAAGTGAGCACTGATGACATGGTCTTTGGTACATCTCCCAATCCCATTAAAAGCCCCCATCAAGACACTACTTCCCATTTTGTCAGACTTGATGGATTCTCTACTCTATGAAGGCTGCAAAGGCCACCACCTGAGTGTTGTTTTCATGGTGAAAAGGAGAGAAAAGGCAACTTTTTGGTGCTCACCTCATCAGTTTAACTGAACCAAAACCAAAAGCAGAACCATAACTATCAACATGTATTCTTATCCTGTGTTTGACAACTGCATTTTTACAAGCTAAGTAAACTTTCATTTCCCTTGACTATGCTGGGTCAGTCACTGTACCATACAGATACCTGGGTTTATGACCATGCCAGCAGCCCACCTCACTACCTGATAAAACTGGCCATTCCTATATTTTACAGTTGTGGTGTTTAGAAAGTTCTTACTTAATATGAATCTTAGTCTGCCCCCCTTCAACTTCCACCCATTAATTCTACCCCTCTATTGCTGTAAAGAAGCAGTGTACTCCTTCCAAATAATAGGTCTTCAAGTAATTAAAACATAAAAATAGAACTAGACTATAGATTTCATTTTTATAGGAAACTCCTGGGTGTGGAAAATCCCTTTACTAACTGAATGGCACTTTCTCTAAAAATTCTCATCTTAGAGAGCTGCATTGGGCACCAGTAGATCAACCGGTAGATACAACCCATAGCTGTATGGCCAGTAAGTGTGAATACATGTCTTCCTGGTCTCAATGTTAACAGTCTTTCTTTCACACTACACTGCCTCTCTGAAAACATGGCTTATAAAAGTTTTCTTTTCTAAGAGACATATCCCAAGTTCTTTCAACTCTTTTTATGTGTGGTTTTCCAGGCTAAGTAATCCTAATTCTCCTAGGCTTTCCTTTGAGGATCGCCTTATTAGGAATCTCAAGTATACTAATTTTTTTTATTGTCTCCTTTGGACCCTTTTAAAATCCTCTACATATTCCTAATATTGTTAGTAAGTAATTAATGTGTGTATATATATATATATATATATATATTCTTGGCAGCTAGTGGCTCAGTGGATAGCGCACTGGGCCTGGAGTCTGGGAGACCCAAGTTCAAATCTGGCCTCAGACATTAGTAGCTATGTGACCCTAGGCAAGTCATTTAATTTTTGTTCGCCTTTATCCACTAGAGAAGGAAATGGCAAACCACTCCAGTGTCTCTACCATTAACAAAACAAATAAACAAACAAAAACATGGACAGTATTGATGTGATATGGCCATGGAGAGTTGGACACACTTCACCAAGTGAACAACAACATAAATATTCTGGTATTGCTGTAATGTAAAAGGGCTATGAAAGTAACTAGTATTGGGGGAAAAAATGAAAACTCATTATTCCCAATAGCCATATAAGGCCTTACCTTAAGAGATCAGCCTACCAGACGTGACATACCTCATAGAGGTCAATCATGACGTTACCCTCAGGCCCTCGGCTACTCTGGACATTCTCCAGAGCCAGAGTGAAGTAGACTCCGCGTGTGTCTGAGATGTAAAGATTGTAGGTGTCGTTTTGGTTCCATTCCTGGACTGCTGCAAACACTTGATTCTCATCCGTGCTGATGACATGCATATCCTGGAAAGAGGACAAAGAAGAGACATAAGAGTATAGGAGCTCCACTGTCTCTGACAATCCTCCTTCAAGTTGTTCCATAGGTCTGGAAAATAAAATAAGTTTGTAGTCTAATAAGAAATCCTTTAATAGGCACTATGATTGCAAATAGTCTCTCTTTTGCATATATGCAAAATATTAATTAATTGAGGGAGTGTTAATTAAACATTTCTTTTGATGTGGTTGTAGGAATGGGCATTAAAGTAATGGAGAAAGGGGGAAGGGAGCTTAGGTATAATTTGGATATCTTATTAAACAACTTGAAAAATGCTTTCTCAGATGAGTAGAACTTGGGAGAATCAATCACCATGATTTATTTGCCAAGCACAAATATGGAGCTTGCTCAAAAGGCTTACATAGAATAAACTTGAGAGGAAAAAGGCTGAGAGGAAGGGGAAAAGAAAAGATAAAATGAGAGAGGGTTGGGCTATCCTAAGCCCAGCTAGATCACAACTTTTCCTCTTGGGTCATCTTGGTATCTCATGAAGATGTTCCATACTATGTGAGAAAAATAGATAACGCAGTTTAGCTGGTTGCTTTTAATAACCATAGTTTACCCATATCTTTGTTCTCTAAGGTACAGCAAGTAAACTTAAATGAAATAAATCTATTTAGTGTTTTACCTATCTACCTACATATATTATGTATGGACTTATAATTTGCGTAATAGGCAACCTTTTCAAATGTTGCCAGGCCAATTAGACTGTGAGCACCTTGCACTTTGAGTGCAAAGAATTGTCTATTGCTTTCTTTTTATCCCTACTACTTAGCACAGTGCCTAGAACATGCTTTCTCTTTCTGAACTCTCATATCACTCTTACGTCATATATTCATTCAACAGAGAGTTAGTATCTTCTAGGTACAATGGAACTCTACTATGAAATTTTCACAGTGTTTCTTATATTATTTCTTCTTGAATTATCCTCTTTACTTCCCTCTCTCTTTCCCCTAGAATGTAAGCTCCTTGAGATCAGGGACTATCTTTCCCTTTGCCTTCATATCCTAACACAAGGCCTTTTACAAAGTGGAGACCCAACCAATGCTTGCTGAATTCAATGGAAATAGTTATTTTTCCATGTGTTTTATGTAAACAATTCGGACACAGAGACTCAGTTTGAATCTTGTTTCTGACACTGCTAGTTGTGTGCCCATGTGAAAGTCATCTCACTTCTCAGCATCAGTTTCTTCATTTGTAAAATAAGCAAAGTAAGACCAGTACTAACTACATCAGAAGGTCATTTTGAGGAAAGTACTTTATAAAACTTAAAGCACTAATAGAAATTTTAAATTTGAATGATAATTCTTACTGGACTATACTCCAAAAAGGCAGTGACTCTATAGTTTTCATTTCTTTCTCACTCACAATACTTAGCATAGGGTCTGCCTAATAGGAGGTGCTCAATGAATATTTGTGCAATGTTTCTCAAGTAGGAGTGACCTCCTCAACCTCTTTTTCACTCTAGGATAGTGTTCTGGAAAGTGTGGGCAAGGAGAAGAGAGATCACACATCCCAAGGTTTACTGATTTCCTGAGGAACATTTTGCTATTACCTCTGCAGTCCCTAGCCTATGACAGCAAAAACTTTCTAACAGTTCATTGGATTAGAGGGGAATAGACAAGAAGACATCATTCGCATTATCCCCCCGATTCTCTGTGGGGCTATAATCAAATAAATCCAGAAAGATAACTCCCTAGCCTTTCCTTAAAACTAAAAAATAAACAAAACTTCAGAAAATGGAATGCTACAGTCTTGGTCACAAATTCCATTATCTACTTTATGGTCTTGAGAGTGTTAGGAAGTTCTTTCTCATATCTAACTTAAATTCACCTCCATACTGAAATCTCTTTCATCTCAATCAGTCAACCAGCAAGTATTTATTAATGTTCTTCTTGGGACAAAGCACCATGCTATGTACTCAGAGGAAAACAAAGATAACATAGGATGTGATTTTTATCTACAATGTTCACATACAGTTCCAATGAAAAATATTCTCCAACACTTTTTTTTTGAATTCCTTTGCATCCCTCATTTATTTGCAAGGTTGTTGAAAAGTAGGTTTACATTTCCTCAAACTAAATTTGGGGAGGGGAATACCCCTAAAGAAGTCAAATCATGAGAAATCCATATATTTCATGCCAAAAGCAAAGGTTTAGTTGGGGTGGAGATGGGGGGAATTTGTTGTTCTTCAAAAATATGCAGTGGGGCTCAGACAGTGGGCCATTTAGTCAGTGAAGTTCAAAACCTTCATTGGTTCTTGACTCCCTGCCCATAAAGTCTAACCTCTTCAAATTAGCATTTAAATATCTTCACAATCTGACTGCCACCTAGTTTTCCTATTTTTTTACACATTACTTCCAGTCCCACATGATATTCCAGTCAAACTAGCCAACTTGCCGTTCCTCCAACTTGGCATTAATCTATCTCCTCATCTTTGCACAGACATTCTCCAGGTCCCAAATTCACTCCCTCCTCTTAGTAGCTTTAGCTTCATTCAACACTCAGGTCAGGTGGCATCTCCTCCTAGAAGCTCCTCCTGATTCCTCTAGTTGCTAGAGTTCTCTATTCCTCATATCATCTGGAATTTACTTATCTGTTTATCTGTTATACAGCCCTGGGGGAATGGAAGCTGATTGAGTGTAGAGGCTTTTCCTCCCTTTTATCTATTTCCCTATAATCTAGCTCAGCTGTCTGGAGAACCCCAAGCAAACGTTAAAGTTCTCTTTCCCTCTACCTTCTTTCCTCATCATCTAATTTCTTGGCTATCCATCAATTCAGCCTCAATATTTTATGGGTCCCTCTAATGGCATGGTAAGATTAAAACAAAATGAGGCAGCTAGGTGGCACAGTGGATAGAGTACCGGCCCTGGATTCAGGAGGACCTGAGTTCAAATCTGGCCTCAGACACATAACACTTACTAGCTGTGTGACTCTGGGCAAGTCATTTAACACCATTGCCTAGCCAAAAAAAAAAAAAAAAAGGAAACTAAGCATAAAAGTTGTGGTTTATTCTTTTCCAAACAAGCCAATTCCTGGCTTTGATAGGTGCAAATGGTCCTTCTAACACAAGCCTGGGATGCTTCCACTTTGAAAGTGTAATGAAGTTGTGACGAAATTGCTCATCTCCTTAAATAATACACACTTACTTGGTCAAAATAATACATTTGCTGGCTGTTATGACTTCTATTTCTCTGAGAATGACTTAAATTAATCACAGCGTTCTCTTTCCAGACCTCAGAAAAGGCACTGCCGTAATGTTACCAGAGCAGATGAGGAAAAGAGAAAGATGAGTGCCAGTGTTTCAAAGGCAATTCTGTGAGTTCAAATTGTCTAATTGCTACCCACTGGGAGCCACAGGACTTTGGTGATCAGGTGATAGCTGAACCTGGGCAACTGCAAAGTACCCATTCTAAAGCCACCTAGTAATGGGGTGACAGGTTTCTTTAGCTTTCAAAAATCCATTTCAAATCACACTTCTGATGCTACTCAGGTCACAAAGGACGTTTCCTATGACACCACTGAATACACGTCTGGTTTTGTTTGTCTGTTTGTACATTTCTTATGAAAGAATCCCCAAGTGTTCACAGGTCTAAGTTAGCATACTGGAAATAGTGCTGGAATGGCAGTTAGAACATGTCTGACATTTTGCCATGCTTTTAACATCCCTCAAAGCTTCTACACATTCTTACCTCACTCTGCAATCTCAGGAACTGTACAAGATAAATATTATTGTAGTCTCATAGCTTAAAAACTGAAAGAAAGCTCAAAGATCATCTAGGGTAACCCCACCTAATTTTACAGATGAGGAAACTGAGATACTAAATGACAGAGCTAGGTCCTTTGACTCTAAACCCAGTACTCTTTCTCAGTGTATCAAAACTGAGGCATAAAGAGGTGATATGACAGTTTAGGTCACATAATTAGTTAATAAAGAGTGAGGTCTCTTGGTTTCTGTTTGGGTTCTCTTCCTATTAGGCCTCCTGTCTCCATAAGTGGAGGAGATGAACGTGTTCAAGGGTAAGGAATACAGAATGTCAAGATAAGAAAAGGGGACAGCAGAGAGGTAGATGACTGTCCGATGGGACTTCAAATGAGTCAGCGGTACCAGGAGTAGATTATGGGATGATATAGCCACCCTCTGAATTTTCCACAGAGCAAAGCTTTGGGATTTGATCCCCTTAAAGCTATAGTTTGCTTGCAGTTTCCTCTCCTTTGCTTCATTGACAAGAAGGAAAGGGAAAGGATTTTATTCAAGAGTTTGGTCATTCCCATCACTAGTTTTCCTGGAAGAACAGGAGAACATGTTGCCCTTTTTTAAAGTATCACCTATATTCTAAATGCTTAAGCATCATTTACTCTTGGGTTAGATGTTGGAAACCGACCGCTGAAAGGACCTGGGAAAATAACAAATACCATTACAACCTCAACTGACATATATTTATGTAGCACTTTAAGGTTTACAGAGTTATCTTTTACACATAAACTTGTTTAATCTTCCCAACAACCTCAGGAAGTATTGTTATTATCCTCATTTCACAAGTAAGGAAACTGAAGCTTGGAAAAATTTATGAAGTTACTTTTCCAAAGTCACATAGTTAGTATTGGAGAGAGAATTCAAACCCAAATTGTTACTGACTCCAAATCTTGCTCTCAATCCACTAGACTACATTACTCAAAAAGATTGATCCAATAAAAAGAGATATGATCAAACATAAGAAGTGTTTATTTTTTGTCTTGATCTTCTCCTCCAAAGATATCAAATCTCTCATATTTACTCTTATGAATTTATGTTCCTTTCCTATGCCACATGCACATTCTAACCTAGATATGTGAGCTCCTGGGGAATAAGGAAGACAAATGAGAGGCAACATGTTATTGTAATAGACAGATCATTAGATTTTGAATCAGAGTGCATAGGTTCAAATCCTGGCTCTGTTATTTCCTATTTGTGTGATATTTGATAAATAACTTAACCTCTCTAGGCTTAAAATTTCTCATCTGTAAAAAGAAGGGATTAGAAAATATTATATCTAAAATTTCTTCCAACTCTAAACTCTAGACCCCCACGTAGAAGCAAATTTATTTCAGGCCTAGAATCCACTACTAATAGAATTGAGATTTTGATATCTTAGGTCAGTATGCCCTCCACTAGGTGGTGCTAATACCTTAACAGAGTATAAAAGCAGATTTTTGAAGAGGTAGAGTGATGGACAGCTAGCTTTTGACCACTATTTGCAATAAGACTTACTGGATGGATTCAGAAAACATTATCTACTTAAAGTATCATGAGGGTTAACCCAGGAGTCAAAAAACCTGGGTTCTGGTCCTGGCTCTAACATTTGCTCCTTGTATAACCTTGAACAAGTCATTTCCATTCTCTTGGCTTCTGTCCTTTCAGCTAAGTAGAGAGACAATGATGTTTTACTCTGGCCAAAATGCAATCACAAAACTAGGGGATTTTTGCTGCTGATTAATATACAAAATAAAGACAGAAATGCAAGCCAGGTGGATGGTGTCTCTTTCATTTACATTTTATTCTAATATCATATTCATCTATTTTCCAAGCTAGAGAAGACCTTGGACATTTCTTGCCCTTAAGCAAATTATTGTCTGGGGGAAAAGGTAGTTTAAATATCCAATCCTAGACACAGATTTTAGAATAAAAGTCTTCTTTCTAGCCTGAGGACACTCTTCACTTTCGTTAGATAAGTAGTAAATTATCTCTTGGTAGGACTCAAGAGCTATCAGACTACACTTATTAGGGAGAGGCTTTCTGGTCACTGCACACTAACAGAATTAAGAGTGGTGTTTAGATAGCTAGCAGGTAGCCCTGAAGAGATTTTTCCCAAAAATTGGTACCTGGGAGTAATGCCCAGGAGATCAGCTGAGCAGCATACCCAGCAGGGAGAGAAATGAAAGAAGAAAAGGTGAGGGAGAAAGGAAAATGGGGGTAGAGGGAAAGAGAAGAAAACAAAACAGGAGAGGGAAAGAAAGCAAGATGGAAAGGGAGAGAAAGCAAGAGGGAGAGGAAGAGAGGAGAAAATAGAAGAAAGACAGAAATCAAGAGTGAAAGGGAAATATAGAAAGAAAGGGAGAAGGAGAACATGCACAGGAAAAAATGGTATTATGATATCCTGTAAGGAGTAAAGCACTTTTGTTGTTATACCCAGGTACAGGCCCACAAGTGATGGATAGCTGTGCGGAGGCCCACAGCAAGCAACACAATGACATCATTAGAAAACAATGATGATTGCAATATTAGTAGCATGGGTTGCCCTTTTATTAATGCTCCCTATGTGTGTGATTTGTGATCTTCATGTTCATGTCTTCTCAATAATAGTGTGTATTGCCTATGTTCTGTGGGATAATATTCCATTGTTATTTTTTTTTTACTATGCTATTTCATTTAATAACTTTGCTTTGAAATGTGTTCTCTGGATGACTATTAAATCTAATCATATTAATGAAGGTTCATGAGCTGAGGTTTTTGTGCAAATATATAATCACAGATTACTTTGCACCTGAAGTATCTTTTCTGAGGACCCAACATGTGGGGTGGGCAGGGTTCCCTAGGTGCCACAGATGCAACTTTAATGAGCTAAACAAAATAATCTCTAAAGCTCAGTGAGTCAGTGTGGTTTAGCAGAAACAACAGTGGCCCAGGAAAAAGGAACCCCCGATTCTCAGTTCCACCTCCGCCACTAGTTTGTTAAATGAGCTTAGGTGAGTTGATTTCTCTATGCCTCAATTTCCCCACATGTAAAATATGAAAAGGTTGTACTAGATGATATATGAGCTCCCTCCCTGGGTTATTTATTTTGCAAGTCTATGATCCCTTCACTCCCTTCCAGTTTGAATATTAATACAGTTCTGTAAGATTGAAAAATAAATAGACAGAGGCAAAAGGGAATATCCATAAGAAGTTGAGAGCAGAAAGGGGAAAAATATAAGGAAGATTATCCAACTGTACCTTAGGCAGGGCATACTTAGGTAGCTTCATCTGTGCAAATGCATTCCTACGGTAAGACACGTAGTAATGTGGTCGTCCTCCTGAGGTCAACTGAGACATAAATACAAAGATTACAACAATAGATTTTACTAATATTACTTATGGACAGTGAATAAGTAGAGGTAAGAAAGCAACCACCGATACAATGATGTGAAAGTCTATTATCCATAGTCATTGGGGAGCTAGGGTAGAAGATAAGACATACTACATGTGGGTCTATTAGAATCAAATATGTATCTCTGGTCAAAATGCAGATTCTTCAATTTTCAATGTGTCTCTCAAGTGCAGAGCCTTAATAAACTCTCTCAGATTGGTAGAAGATATGGGTTTATGACATGGATTGACTCAAAGTCAACCAGAGCCTTAGATGTCTGACTTCAAGAAGCTCAAATGCAAGATCAGGCTCCTACTGCTACTTGAGAAGGCAGTGACTCAAATCTAGCATTGACAGAACAAGGACCCAAAGCATTCAGGTCTTCTTGCTTCTTTTCTGTAACTCTGATCATCAGAACTTTATAACAGGAGCTATCGTGAAGTAAAAAGGAAAACTAAAAAATGACCTTCTTCTAAGGCTCAGCCCAGGTACCACCTCCTACAGGAAGTCTTCCCTAATACTGCAAGCAGTTAGTTCTCTTTGCCTCCTCAAGTTATCTTGTATTTACTCATAAGTTTATATGCTTTATTTTCCCAATAGAATATAAGCTCCCTGAGGGGGGGTGGGGGGAGATGTCTTTTTCTGTATCCCCAGCACACAGGCCCAGTACCCTATATTTAGTAAGTGATTAATAATTGTTTGTTAATCTGTTGGCTTATATTTATATGTTAGCTACAGATCTGTCCGAAATAGAAATATTGAAAGTAACCCTACAAGATAAAAGATCATACTATTAAATCAAAGAACACAAAGGGATAAAATAGTTGTCTTTTATATGAGCACCTACTGACTCATGACAAACTGTACTGTTATCATTCTGTCCTCTTTCCAAACACTTTTTTTCATCTCTATCCATTAAATATCAGTGGTTCCAAGGCACTGTATTTTTATAGTATGTTGGTGATAAGACAGGTGGTAATTTACAACTGTAATGAGATGACAAGTTGGTATTAAGGATTGCACTGACTCCAACTTGAGTGAAAAGGTAGAAATTCAAAATGGCAGAATGGATTTTAATGGGCAAGTAATGCCAGGAGATTTTAAGGAGGTATTAGAAAATGTAAAAAAAAAAAAAAAAAAAAAAAAACATTGCTAAGGTGGCAAGAAACTGGGGAAATGAACTTTTAAACTTAACCACCTGTACCTGTATTTCAAGGTAACATGATCAGTTTGAGATAGAAGGTATATATTTATCTAAAAGATGAATCAGACATTAAGGTAGGGGAATAAAACATATACAGGTGTATCAAGCTAGAAAATGAGAGTATGATATGTCTACATTCCTCATGTCTTCTTTGTTAACTCATGTGCTTTGAAATGTGAGCTTCATAAATTTTGGTACAAAGATGTCATTACTACTTGAATGTAAACTTAAAGAAAGGTATTTTTTTTTAAATAAAAAATCAGCTTTGTCTTCCCTATATTTAGCACAGTGTTTTCCTCATGATAGGCACTTAAATTCGTGTTGGATTGGTAAATAAGTGCTCTGATTGAAATCTCCTTTATCATTTTTTTTCAGTTAAACGTCCCCTTTGTCAATTAAGCACAGGAAATGTTGCTGGATTATTTTTAATATACAGTCTAAACATTTCTAAAAATTCCCCTTCCAATGAATGTTTCACATAGCAATAAGTAAAAATATGCTAAGTGGCTTTCCTTGCCCTTTGATTCAGATGGCCTTTCAATGAAATTCTAACTTCAAAAACTGTTCTCTGGCCTAAGAAACCTGACTTAATACATCTCATCTAAATTCTACTTATCGTAATAATAGTCAGTGCATGACAATAATGGTTGATTACATTCTCTCTCTATGTTTCTATCTCCCCTTCTACCACCTCTAGCTATTTCATAGCCTCTCCCACAGTCTCTATTTTTTTTCTAAGAAAATACTTTTTTTTTTTTGAAAGAAGAAAACCTGATTGGTCTGCTCTTCTCCTGATAGCAAGAGACTGACATATCTGCACAGCTCAATGATGATAGGGAACTGGTAATGGAATACAGGATGAGGAGATTGATTGGAGATTCAAATCATCCTGATGTCTATTCCTGATCCTATGAGAAGCACCCCTATGACCTCATAGTGATAAGGTCCTCCAGGCACAGTCCGAAGAAGCTAATTAGTATTCTGAGATTTAGAAACTGACAGAATAAATTCTGTCCCTTTTATTGAAAATCACAAGCCTTTCTTTTTGAAACCATCCTTCAGTTTGGCAAGAGGGTAAAGGGACACATGAGAAAGGGGATATGTGGGGGGGAAAATCTTGGAAACCAATCAATATAAGTGGATGCTACACACCTGAACAAAAACGTAATCATCCTGAACAATCAGAGAATCGGGATCAATATAGCCAGGGAAAGGTTTATTTCGGTTGCCTTCTGTGCAGTTCTGCATCCGACAGGTTAAGTATTGTGAATCTGGAAGAAAAGAAGGAATGAACAAAAAGAAAAAAAAAATATTTCGCCAAGGACCAACAGCTATCCATTTCTGGGTTCATTTCTCATCATCTATCTACCTTCTCTTTCACTGATTCTACCTACAGTTCATTATTTTTATTCTTTTTTCCCCTGTTAGACTGTCACAGTTCTTGGGTCAGAGTAATTATTCCCTTGGTGAAGTGAGGGTGGGGAAAAGCAGAAAGAGAGAGGGACAGAGACAAAAATAAAGTAAAGAAACAGAAACATAGGAGTACACAGAAATGGGCAGCTTTTGTTGATTTCAGGTTTTCTTCCATGAATATGTCTTTTCCAGGCTTTGTTTCACTATTGGTTAAACATGTCAGAAAAATAAAAGCCCCTACATGATTGTTAGATCACTGTCACATTTTCCATAATGAAGGTCTTTGGACACCATTTTTTTGTCTGAAGAGGAAAGAAGAGTGAGAAAGGAGACTGTCAAGAACACTGCCCACATTTCAAAAATGAGCAAACTAAGATTCTGAGACTCACTCGGAATTTTGCCTTCAGTATCAGGTACAGCCAAGATGAGGACTTTTCTACTTTGACAGTTCTATTAAATAAGACATCAGGAAACTCTCACCACTGGCAGTACCACAATCCCTCCCTTCACTCTGAACTGCTTTTAACTAACTGAGATGTATCATATAATGATGTACTCCACTTCAAACTATATGAAATTCCAAACTTTTCAAAACAAAAGGATCAGGCGGCAATTCACATCACCAAGGGAGCCTTTAATTTTACAAAAGACTTTACTGTACATTTCCTTTCCAAATTCCACTTGCACAAAACTTTTCCAAGAACATTTCCACTGAAGGGATCTCTTGCACTCTAGAAGTAAGCCACTAGGGGGAAACATGCCCATATATTCTACCTAACCAATAAGAAGCTTTGAAAGACATTTCTTCAGTTGCATCTCCACAGAAAGCTTGTGAGCCTCATCAGTCCTTTTTCTCCTCACTTATGCATAAAGCCAAGGTGGAGAGCAGGGATGGGGGAGGCAGGGGAGATGAAATTATCTTCTGATTTAACCAATTAGTCACAATAAACCATTCCTTTTTTACTCTTATCCACATCAGGGCCCAGAATTTCTCCTCCATTTACCAAAAGCTTCATTTTTTTGTGGGACCCAATTTAAGACTTACCACCCAGTGATCTTCCTTTGCCCAAATCCCTATAACATTTATGAATTGAACCACACTTGACTCAATCTCTACCGTTTTATCCACTTTTCTATATATACCCTGGCCTGTGGAGATGCTTCCTATTCTCCAAGGCCACCAATTCAAGGCTCTGTGAAGTAAGTCTTACCTCCACGACTTCTTTCCTGATGTCCCCAGTGACAAATGAGTTTTCCCTCTTCTAAATTTTTATAGCACTAACCTGGTATTTCTCCCATGTACTGATCAGACTCCAGTTTGTAAGGGAAATTCCCTTCCAGAGCGCAAACCCCATAAGGGTATGAGCTCTTTCTTATTTACCTTTTATCTCCAGTGGCCAGGACGACACTATGCATGCGTAGGGTAACTAAAAACTAAGTTAAATTGAAACAAAATTAATTGAATTGAATCATACCAATCAACCTTTCAATTGGAAACTGCCCTAAGTGCAGTTTAACGGTCAACCTGTGCTAAGTATACCTGTCTTGGAACTAATTCTTGCCCAATTATTTTTACCATTTTTTTTCTTTTATGGCTCCCAGTCCTACCCCCTCAGTAGGAGGACACCTGAAGAGTCCACACTATACATACAGCAACATCTCACCTATCTGGAGCTCAGCTGAAAATCAGTAACAAGGCAAAAAAAAATCTCTGCAGTGGAAATAGGTATCACAAAGTTCATGTACCTTTATCACAGATGAACACTTCAAGTGCCAATTCAGACTATAATTCCTCTTAAATTAGATTAGTTTTTGCTAAATTGCTTATCTATTTGTAACTAAATCCACTCCGGATTAGAAGAAGCCAATTGGAAGGGAGTAAGGGGCCAAACTAAAAGAGGCATACTGAAAACAGTGAGAAGTGACATTTGACAGGCTGACTTGGGATAAAGATTTAGAACAACTATAAAAAGTCAACCAAGAAACTCAAAAAGCACTACATTCTGGTATTTAATAAGGGGGAAATAGACTTACATACATCAGGAGACCTAGAGGACAGCACAGTAAATAATAACACTTCCATGATATAGGTTAGATAAGAGTTATTATTCCTCATTTACAGATGAATAAACTGAGGCATATGGGGGTTAAGTGATTTGCCTAGGGCCACACAGGTATACTAAGAGTCAGAGCTGGGAACTAAAACAACATCTTACTGACTTCAAGTCTCTTTCCACTGAACCATGTTACTTTTCTATTATATTACAATACAATAATCTATTACAAGTTCATAAATTTAAAACTATAAGGTCCCTTAGAAGTCATCCATTGAGTTCAATATTCTCATTTTTAGAAATGAGGAAACTGAGGCCTGGAAAAGTTAAGTGACTTGTTCAAAGTCATACAGCCAGTAATTGAATCAGGATTTGAACACCCATAATGATGATGAGAAAACAAGAAAAAGCTATTTATGTATCTGGATAAGAAGGTAAAAAAGAGTGCACTACATTTAATAAAGATTTCCATGCAAAATGGCTGATTTTCCTTATGCCGTGGATGCACTCCCTCTTTATCTATGCTTTAAAACACAGAGCAGGCCCTTATCATGGTGGGGAGGAGGGGGGAAGGGAGGGAGGAATAGAATTCAAAACTCCAAACTTAAAGAAAAAATGTTAAAAAATGTTTTAACATGTAATTGAGGAAAAATGATATATATGTACACACACACACACACATAAATAAAGATTTATTAGAATCCTTGGCTTCGTTTTTCAAGGCTCAGTACTGGAGCCATCAGATTTATGAAGCTTTTCCTCATGTCCCCATTTGTTAGTGTCCCCTCCTTCCTGAAATTCTCTTCTATTTTCTTAATCTGAATATATGTTGCATCCCTCCTCCTCATGTTCATTTTCTCTGTCACTCTTCCCTCAAGAATCCAAGCTACTTGAAGGTGAGGAGTTCTCATATTTGTTTCTGTATTCTTAATAAGTACAACACTTTGTACTTAGCAGGTGCTTAATAATTACTTGTGGGACTGAGCTGAATGGTTAAAACCATCTACCTGTCCCAAAAAATGTGGTTTCCTGAAATGATTGCTCCTTGTTGTGGGGTGTGGGATTTCCTTGAGCAGCTCTTGTGAGAAAGGTCCAAGGCTTGGGCTCTATATCCATTCTTCACTCAATGTGAAGTTAGAGGGGAAATGATCGTTTCTAAGGGAATAGCTCAACAGCCGCCCCTATGGTAAAGTGCTCCCAATTTGGTTCCCTTTTCCTCCTAATGGAAATACAAAGTAATTGGCCGTACTTCATAATGAGAGACCAATCACTCTTATTTCCCTTGGGGCTCATCATAATAGCATTAAGTATGATGAACTCTTTCCATATTCAATTCCTGTGGATATATGCTGTGATTCCATAGGAGGTGTCTTGTAATTTGGCATTAATTAACGTCAATTAATATATGCAACTGCTAAGCTTCAGAATTAATTTCATTACTTTTACTGCACAGATGTTTTCCTTGCCATAGGTAATTAGGACATTATGCTTCTCTTTTCAAGCATTCTCACCCTCTACAACAGCTGCCGCTTTGAATAATGTAATAACCAGTTCCCCTTAAAGAAACTTTGCTGCATATCTAGGAAGCCGGCAAAAGAAAGTCAAGCCAATTCTGGCTCCCCAGTAACCAACGACCCAACTCAATTCCATTATGAATTTCAAGACACTGCATTGATATGTTTTCTCTTTTTTTTCTCTATTTTTTTTGGGGGGGAGGAGGGAGTTATACCAATACTGGAAAAGAAATGTTAAGGGGAAAATGTTTTCTGTAGTGTTTCTATTTTTTTTTCCAAAGTATCCCCAAAGATACCAAAATTGCCTAGAAAACTAGAGAGAGAAACCACTTTGGTACAGTCAGAGGGGAACACTGAACAAGGGATTCAGAAACCTGGATTTTAGTCCTAAATAGAGTAGTAATGAAAACAGGATAACCTGGGTTGTGTCCAAGGACACTAAGGGTAGATGATTTCAGGATCAGTTTTCCTTTCTGGTATACCATTCCAATAGCATGTTAAATTTGATCATCCTGGCTCCCTCACCCAGATCCAGACTGCCCCTCCAGCTGAGCCAGGATCCCATTTTCATGGCATACTTTTCCTGGCTTGCATGCCTCCTGCACCACTGCAGCAGGTGCAGGTGTATACAGGAGCCAATTCAAACCAGTCCTCCATATGTCCAATTGTTAAATTTTCAGGGTGAATCAATCAGGGTGAATATACACCTGGGAAACAGGCAAACACTACAATCCAAAGCTAGATGTATTGTCTTGTTGATTGTCTAGACTCAAGAAAGCAATGACAAAAAAAAATTGTTTTAATTATACAGATTTAACTTAAAAGTGTGTCACAGGTATATAGGTTTTTGTTTTCAGAGAGTCAGTTCTTAAAACATTTACTAGCATACTACTGGGTGGGACGTCACCCTATGGCACTGTATCTAATAGGACAGTGACTGTCCATTCTCCTCAGACTCCAGCTCAAGACTCAAATGAATCTACCCCAGGTGTCAAAATTCCTAGTTAAGACTCTAGTCCCAATTTTGCCACAAACTAGCTCTGTGACCCTGTGCATTAACCTTCCCCTTTTGGTGCCTCTTTCTTCATCTATAAAATGATGAAGTTGGATTGAAATGATTCTCCCGGTTTCTCTCAGATATAAAGTTCTATGATTGATGGAAAATCTCATTTTTGTTGTTATTGTTGTAGGAAATTTTTAGTAAAACTATTCCCAGTCATATTAATTTTGAATGCAGAGAGGCATTCAAAAGCTTAAAAAGGAGTTCATTTACCAAACTTTTCTGCTTAA